TATATATATATATATATATCATCTAAAATCAATTTTAAATCCTCTAATATGTGGTAGATATGTAAATGTACCCTTGTATTAAATATTATTTAAAGATAACATCATATTAATTTAATTAAAGGGCACCAAACAGCCATTATAGAAAGCTCAGAGAACTACTAAAATTCACGGAAAAAAGAATGGTTGGGGTCGGTGAAAGGAGAGTAGGGTGGTTGAAAGAAACATAAGAGCTGCAGTATAGTTTTATGAAGCTGACCTCCCATCAAATCAATTTTTATTTTTTTTTATTAAAATTAGTTAAACATATTTAAAAATAAAAAAAAACTAAAAATATTGATATATAAATTAAATAGCAAACTATGATGTATTATTAAGGAAATTTTACATCTCACATTCGCAAAATTGCCCATATTATTCATCAAAATTACAACAGGGATACTTGCACATTGAACCAAGTTGATTAATAATTTTTTTTTTAATTTGATTATTTAAATTATAAAAAAAATTGCATGGCCCAAAATTATATTATTCCATGTGTGAAATCAGCACAAAATTAAATAGGGGCATTTACATACATACCACACAATTCTTAGGTATCAACATTTCTAACACTTAAAACCTTCCGAATAATTCATACCACATACACTCACTATTTTAAGCTCAAAAAAATAAAATACACATTTTCATGCATAAGTAAAGCAGACGTGTATGTAAAAAAAAATTTTAAGTTTGTGTTAGATATGTAAATATATAAGAATTGAGAGGTATGTAGGTAAATATTCCAACAAAAAAATGAGCAGTTACAAACATGCCACCTAATTCCTATGCATTTACATATCTAACACCTAAATTTCATATTGTACGTTTAAAAAATATCACTATTTTAACTTTAAAAAACTGAAATACATATATTTTCATGCATAATATAAGATTGGAAAATATGCAAAAAAAAATAAGTATGGGTGCTAGATATGTAAATACATAAGAAGGAATGGTATGTTTGTAAATCTTCCAATTAAATAATAAACCAAGCCAACCTCTTTCACCATTTCTTTAAGCAAAGCTCATGCGGAAAACGCAGTAGCCAACTGCCCCTCCTTTTTCTTTCTATAAACTCAAATTACTCACTTTTTCTCTTCAGTGTCACCAGCCCTCTTCTTTCTCACCGGTAACCAAACCAGAAGAAAAATCTCTCCTTTTTTTTGCATAAAGAAGGAACAATTATTATTAAGGATTTCAGGCTGAGAGCTCCATTTAATTTCTTCAAGTTTTCTGCTAATGGCGAAGACGAAGGAATGGGGAAGAAAGGCTATTTTTGTTCTTTTTCTCTCACATTTTGTTTTGAGTATTGAAGCGTTGAAGATGGAAGGGAGACGCAGCGCTGAAAGGATATCAGGTGCAAATTAACTTTTTCTTTCTCTTTTTTCACTGCAAATTTCTTTTTTCTTATGTAATATCATGAATTTGAACTGACTTTTTTAGCCTAAATATTGTTCTTTGTGTTTGGTGGTTAGAGTTTTGATCTGCAAGTGTTTGGTGCCACATGTATCTATTTCTTCCCAAATTAGGTTTTTGGACTTTCTTCTATTAACCAAAGGAACATGACTTAATAATAATTATAATGACCTCATAAAAAAAGAAGGGGATAATTCCTACAGAGCACCTCAAACACTGTTATTTACAAATGAGGCACCAAGTTGATTTTTTGAAACTATTGAGCTGATGCATTTAGATGTGCCACGATCAAACCATTGAGAACTTAAAAAAAAAAAATGAAAATATGGGTTGGAGTTTTACCATGATTTTTTATATATGGGCGAGAATTTGAAAAATGAATTAAAGAGGGTGCTTGATTTGTAAATAGCAATGTTTTTACTGCCCTATATGTAATTGCAAAATATTAACTTAGTGGGAAAAACCCTCTCACTAACTATATTCATGTCAATTTTTTAAACCCTCCATCCACTCAATTCATACCTGTTATATGAAGGCTATGAAAAAAAAAGAAAATAAAATAGGGTAAATTGTAAATATTAAGAAAATAAATAGAAACAAATAAGTGAGTCTCATAGTTGAACAAGGAGATCCTTTTCAAATGAAAATCACATTAGAATATTATGACATATTTTACATTAGGATAGGCTTAAAGATAAATAAATTTGCTTTGAAATTAGTGCAATAACTCTTCATACACAACACTTATCTTCTAGCCAATCAAACAAATTTCAAGTCCATAGTGATACAAATTGCATCAAAATATGTTGATGCAAATTTTAAGCCCATATTAAACTCTGTTTTAGTTTATGGATAATCTTATTGGACATTTACAGGAGGATGTACCTTGGTGTATGCTTTTTGTTGATGATATCTTCTTGTGGATAAGACGAGAGAAAAGACCCAAGGAAAACTTGAATTATGGAGGTCTATCTTGGAGTCTAAAGGCCTTCATTTGAGTAGAACCAAAACTGAACACATGGAATGTAATTTTAGTAGTAGTAGCTCTAGTAACATAAGTGTAACTTTGGGTTATCAAATTATTAAAAAGTGTGAACAATTTAGATATCTTGGATCTGTTTGTACAAACCGATGGTTATATAGATGGGGATGTTAATAATAGAATTCAAGTTGGTTGGTTGAAGTGAAGGAATGCTTCGGACCTTTTGTGTGATAGAAAAGTACCCCTTAGATTGAAAGGAAAACTTAATAAGATGGTGGTGAGACCTGCAATGCTCTATGGCGCTAAATGTTGGCCTTTAAAAGAGAAGCAAAGAGAAGCATAATACTAAAAGCATAATACTAAATTAAGTGTTGCCGAGGTGAGAATGATTAGGTGGATGAGTGGCTTTACACTTAGAGACAAAATGTGAAATGAATATATCCTGTGATGTACAAAATTAGAGAAAGTCGTCTTAAATGGTTTGGTCACATTAAACGTCGACCATATGATGATCCAATTAGGAAAATAGATGTTTTAGATTTGACTTATTTTAAGAAAGGCAGAGGTAGACCTAGCAAGATTTGGGCTTATCGTCTAAAAAATGATCTTCATTTATTAGAACTAAATGAAAATATGACACTAAATAGGACGCAATGGAGAAGACGCAATGGAGAAAAAAGACTGGAGAAAAAAGACTCATGTAGCCGACCACACGTAGTAGGATTAAGGCTTTGATATTGTTGTATTAAACTCTATTTTTTACATGAATACCATTTTAATTATACATCAAAAGGTGTATTCCACTTTTAAGAAATTTGTGATAATGGTCTTTTTGATATGAATGAAAAAAAATTTGGCGTTAGACATGTAAATCCATAAGAATATGTGCCATGTATGTAAACGCCCCAACTAAATATCAAAGCTATTTTTTACACAAATCTAATTTGACAGCTTATGAATATGATGCTTCTCCTTAAATCTTACTCAGCTTAATAATCTTTTTACTCATTATCATACTTCTTTTTCTTAAATTACATCTCTGGTTACTAACTGAATGCTTTTTTTAAAAATCATATGTTACCGTTCTCTCCAATTCTCATTCCAAAACAAATAGGCAGTGCTGGTGATGTTCTTGAAGACAACCCTGTTGGAAGACTAAAAGTCTTTGTTTATGACCTACCAAGCAAATACAATAAGAAGCTTGTTGAGAAGGATCCTCGATGCCTAAACCATATGTTTGCGGCCGAAATTTTCATGCACCGCTTCTTAATTTCGAGTCCGGTTCGAACCATTGATCCCGACGAGGCCGACTGGTTCTACACGCCGGTTTATTCTACGTGTGACTTGACTCCTAACGGCCTTCCCCTGCCGTTTAAATCCCCAAGAATGATGAGAAGCGCTATTCAACTTATCTCAACAAGGTGGCCTTATTGGAATAGAACAGAAGGAGCTGATCATTTTTTTGTTGTTCCTCATGATTTTGGTGCGTGCTTCCATTATCAGGTAATCTCATGCCTATTTAGTTATCAAATATTGTGTTATGATTCGAGTTAGGATTGACGGAAAAGATATGGGGAAATTTACATACATAGCACACGAATCTTATATAGTTACATATCTCACAACTAAACTTCCATATATACACACATAACCCTTAAAATTTTCATATCACATTAAAAATAGTACTATTATCATTTTTAAAAAGTGAAATACACATTTTAATGCATACATTTAAAGCACCAAAGCGTACATATATGTAAATATGCAAGTTTAATCATTTAAACGTGAGATGTGTAAATACATAAGAGGTGTATGCTACGTATGTAAATTTTCCAAAAGGATATTCTATCTTATTTGTCTCATTAATTGTTAAGTATAAAAGTGATGTATGTGTATTTGTGTGTATGCTTAAATCTATATTACTTGTTTTACTTACTAGATGTTAATCATGGCCATTGGTTTTGAATCTAAGAGTAGCATGTGGTTTAGTATAGATTTTCATTGTGTATCACTTATTTTACTAAGTATATGTTCATGATAGCCATTGGATTCGAATTCAGTGGCAGCATGCAATTATGTTAAATTTTTTTGGGCCATTTACAAACATACGGCCCAATTTCTATGTATTTACATATCTCACAGCTAAACTTTAATTTTTACATTTATACCACACAAATCATTCACATCACATCAAAAGTACCACCATTTTAACTTATAAAAAGTGAAATGCACCTTTTCATGCATAGGTAAGGCGCCATGCTTGTAAAAACTGAAATCAGGTGTTAGATATGTAAACACATGGGAATTAAGTGATAGATTTGTAAATATTCCAATTTTCTTCTAAATTTGACTCAAATTCAGGCCTAAGGTGAAATGATCAAGCTCATTAAACATAGAATAAATCAAACATGAACATGATGTTTACGAATAAAGTTCAAAATGAGCAAACTTTGAATAAATTAAGTTGAGCACAAACACATATCAAACTCGCTATGCCTCGGCTGACAATGTCTCTACTTCTAACGCAACAAATGTGCCAATGGTGTTTTAGGAAGCGAAGGCGATAGAACGAGGAATTCTTCCATTGCTTCGACGAGCAACTTTAGTTCAAACATTTGGACAAATGAATCATGTATGTTTGAAGGAGGGATCTATAACTATTCCCCCATATGCTCCACCGCAGAAGATGCAAGCTCACTTGGTTCCTCCCGAAACTCCTCGTTCAATCTTCGTTTACTTTCGAGGCTTATTTTATGATGATAGTAATGATCCTCAAGGCGGATATTACGCAAGGTATTAGCTCTCAAATCCTCTCTATTCCTATTTATTTACATATTTAGCATTAACTTGAATTTTTTACATGCATACCACCTTCCATATGCATGAAAAAATATATTTTACTTTTTCTTTTATATATTTAGATGATAGTATTTTTGATGTGATATGAAAGATTTGGGTTGTAGAAAAGCAAAAAGTAAAGTTTTGGTGTTAGATATGTAAATACATAAGAAATGGGAGGTATGTATGTAAATGCCTCTAGAATCTTATGAAGATATACTAGACAAAAAAGTACAAACAAACAGTTATAATAAATTGTTTTTATTTTTATTTTTTTTTTATTTTTTTTCATGAAAAACTCATTAAATGTTCTATTTATGTAGTTAAGAATGTGTTGTAATATTTGCAAATAAAATTTCTATGCTTAGAAGCTAGCGCAATAGAAGAATAATCTTATTGAGTCTGAACTAGAATTTAGTGGTGGAAGTAAAACCTCAAGTGAAATGGGGCAACTGAGGGGCTTTTAGGATATATATGTAATTGCAAGAGAAAACAACCATAAAACTGGTATATTATACATTAGGAAGATTTACATACATACCACTCAATTCTTTTATATTTACAAATCTAACACCTAAACGTCAATTTTTACAAACATGATACATGCAACCTTTCCTATGCATAAAAAGGCACGTATTCCATTTTTTTTAAAGTTATAATGCCACAAATACATAAGAATTGTGGTATATATGTAAACAGCACAAATAAAAGGGGCATTTACATACATACCAACCAATTCCCATGCATTTACATATCCAACACATAAACTCTACCTTCTATATATTTACACCACCAACTCTTTCATATCCCATTTAAAATACCTCCATTTTAACTTTCAAAAAGCGAAATACACCTTTGTCACGCATATGTAAGACATCATTATGTGTACATAATTCAAAATTTAGATGTTTAGATATGCAAATATATAATTACAAAAACAGCAGTTCCCACAAAGAGAACTTACCGTAGTTTCTTCAATCCATGAGCAGAGGTGCCAGGGCATCCGTATGGGAGAACTTCAAGAACAATCCTCTCTTCGACATATCCTCACAGCATCCCATCACATACTACGAAGACATGCAGAGATCCGTGTTCTGCCTCTGCCCCCTCGGCTGGGCTCCGTGGAGCCCTAGACTCGTCGAAGCGGTTGTTTTCGGCTGCATTCCGGTGATCATCGCCGACGAAATAGTCCTCCCCTTCGCCGACGCGATCCCGTGGGACGAAATTGGGGTTTTCGTCGCGGAAGATGATGTTCAGAAGCTCGATACGATCCTCACATCGATACCTCTGGAAGTCATATTGAGGAAGCAGAGATTGCTCGCGAATCCGTCGATGAAGCAGGCGATGTTGTTCCCTCAGCCGGCTCAAGCAGGCGATGCGTTTCACCAGATCTTGAATGGGCTCGCGAGGAAGCTCCCGCATGGTGAGAATGTGTATATGAGAGAAGGGGAGAAGGCTTTGAATTGGACCGCGGGTCCTGTGGGAGATTTGAAGCCTTGGTAGGGGTGAAGGGGGTTTTTGCAATTTTTTGGGGAATTTACATCTGTAGCACCCGCATTTACTCATTTTATACCAAAATTTCGTTTTTATAAACACAGCATCTAACTTATCACTCATTATGCTTTTCAAAACATAGATAAAATATTGTGTTTGCAAAAATCTAAATTTTGGTGTGAGATATGTAAATACATAAGAATTGGATGCTGCCAGCGTAAACAATTTTCAAATTTAAAATTATATGTTTTTAGTGGGGAAGTTTATATATGTAGCACTTGATTCTTGTCATGTGTATTTATATATCTCACATCTTCATGTTTAGGGTATATACGTATGCATAAGAAAATGATAATGGTGCTTTTTTGAAGTAATGTTAAAGGATTTGTGTGATATGTGTAAATATAAAAGTTTAGGGGTGAGGTATGTAAATACAGAAGAAATGTGTGACTTTTATGTAAATGCTACTATTTGTTTGATTATCCCAGCCAATTTTTATTTGGGGGCATTTGCATGCATACCGCCCAATATAATGAATTTAATTATCCAATGCTTAAATTTTATTTTATTTTTTATATTTATGCCATCCAAACCTTTAATATCACATAAAAGTACAACTACTTTAAATTTTTAAGAAGTGAATACACTCTTCATGGATAAGTAAGGGGGCGTGGATGTAAAAATTGAAGTTAAATTGAAGTTTAGGTGTTGGTTGAAGTTTAGGTGTTGGTTATGTAAATACATGGGAATTGAGTGGCATGTATGCAGAGCTTCCTTTTTATTACTATCTATCATTTCAGTATCTGACATGAATCTCGAGGTAATATTTTGAGCAAAAAATATCCAAGCTTCAATTAAAAGTCATCCAGAGCTCTGATTTCAGTTAACTTATGGTCAAACTGTCTGGTTCGATGAGACAAACCCAATGATATAAAAACTAGTCCAATCTGAGTTAGATCAAGCCCTGATCAAATCATTAAACCACTCTTGGAGGATTTCTGAAGGCATTTGAAAGGTCAAACGTATGTCGAATCTAGCGAGTTCATAGTCAAATCGAGCGTCTCGACAATAAGAATCCAACGAGCCCAAGATTGTTCAATTCTGACATCGTTAAGGCACTCAAATGTCCATCAAACACCATTTGATCGAGAGAAGCTCTCCGGACCGTCCGATAAAAATAGTTCATATTTCTGCATTAATTGCACCCAAAAAAACTATAAATAGAGCCACACCCCTCACATGAAGAAGAATGCTGGAGAGAAAACTTGAGAAGAACAAGTCCAACATCATTCATGACATCGTCGATCGTCGTCGACCACCACCGGCCGTTAGTAACCAATGTCGACCTCCATCGGCCACCGCCAACCACCGCTGACCAGACACCTTCAGTCAACGTTGTAACTTAGAAAATCTAGTACATTTTTATAACTATATTAGGCCCCGTGGTTTTTTCCCTTTACGGGTTTTCCAACTTATGGCGTCATCACAGGTTGTTTCTCTTTCATCTGAGTGCATGTTGAATCCTCGTGCAAAACTAAAACGATAATTCATTACTCTACTGCCGCAAATTTTCTAGAATGCATCAAGTACTTTGAAGTAGGTTGAGTGCTTGTGAATAAAACAATGCAAATTAGCTGTTTAATGGGGCCTTTATTGTGATATGAAGGTTATGGGCTCAGATTAAGTAAAAGAATATTATATATAGAATCCGGATGCATTCAGACTATACGTACAATGTTATATATATTATGTACAACAATATTATAGATGAATTTCAGATGCATCTTGACTGCATGTAATATTCTCACCAAATTAAGAGAGTAGAGTCTTATGTGAATGTAGAGGTATAACTATCTAGATCAACTATGTTAGCGTTAACATATGAGTAATATTTATGATTGGAGCATTTATTATTATAATATATCATTATATTGAGGATATTCTTATTTATAGAATTTTTCTTTGCTATTGTATTCTCTTGCCATGTTACTTAATTAGCTGTTCATAATTACACTTACAAATCAATACTTAAATAAAATTATAATGCTTATAATAACTTTCAAAATTTTTTTGTTTTCTAAAATAATTTTGCGAACTAATTTTACACAACTGCACCCATTTAAAATGGATATTTGAGTGGATGAACTTAATCTATAGTAAACTTCCAATATAATAAAATAATTAGCATGTAATCTATAAATAAATATTTTGTTTTAGAATGCTCATTATAACACAAATGATATGTTTATCAACTAAGAGTGAAGGTATATATTTAATTTGTCATTTAATTTTTGATTATTTACAAAATAGAAATTCATTAAACTTTCACTCAAATATTACAATTCAAGAAAGTTAACTCATATTTTCACTCTATCAAATTCCATATATATATAATATACATATATATAAATAAGCTCATTTAAAGAGTAAAATGTCAAAATAGTCATCGACTATTTAAGCAGGGCGTTTTTAGTCCAATGTTTATATAATTGTTGAAATAATCCCCCATCATTTTAAAATTAGTTATAATAATTTTTCATGTGTATTATTTTCACCTCAATTTAAAGAGTCTGCATACTATTTTGACACTTTTATAAACTTTAAAACAAAAACAGTTGCATATATAAATAGTCCAAGACTATTTTGACACTTTACTCAAATTCAACTGTTTTAAATACAATCTTAACAAAAAAAATGATAAAAAATAATATCCTCGGTATTTTTTTATTTATTATTTGGATTGAAGATGATAAAAATGCAATATAGTTCCTATAATGATGAAAACTCTCAAACTGGCTAAGAACATTAAGCCGGCCGGGCCCGCTCCAAAACAAAAAAAGGCCCACGAACCCATCACCGACTATCCGTCCATATAAACGGAATTCTCCCGTCTTCCTCTCTCCTCTAAATTACTGCATTTTGAATTTGAAAGAGAGAGAGAGATGGCTTCAGCCGACATCAAGGGTTTCTTCCGGCAGAAGAAGGGAGGCGTGTCGAAGAAACCCTCCTCCTCCTCCTCCTCCAAGAAAAACTCCGGCAAGTCAATCCTCCGAACTGCCGCGCATGGATCGCCGGATTCCGCTCAAGCCGCACCCCTCATCACCTGTGGAAAGCTTGATCTCCAAGGTACCTCTCCTTCATTCTTCTAAACTATACACCTTCATGCAGTTTCGAAAAATCCTAAAAAACGGTTTGCCCTAATAGCTGATAACGAGGACAGCGAGGAGAAGCTGCGACAATTCGACATGGAGATGAGGTACGGACCCTGTGTGGGGCTCAGCAGGCTCGAGCGCTGGGACAGAGCGTGTTCTATGGGGCTTAATCCGCCGATGGAGATCGGCCATCTTCTCCGTAGCTTATCGGGATCAAATCCCAAGCTGGAATGCCTCTGGGAGGGTAGGGTTTGATTCGCAAATATGTAATAAGTTGATTTGGTGTGGAAGAAAAGGAAAATGCTTAATGGTAATGGTAACTCCTTTTTTATGTCAGCTGCATTTGCAATGGAGAGATGTATTTGACTCTGATTTTGGTGTGTTATAAGCGTTTTAACACTGTTCTGTTTCTTAGCTGAACCAATTTGTGATTCACAGAGGCTTGTGTTGCACTTTTTTTATTATCTCTAATCTGAAATTTGGCTATGGCTTACGTTTTTTACTTTTTAGATGTAAATATCAAATTTCAACTGTTAGATATGCACATACATAAAAACTTCTTTCAGACAAACCCGCTTATGAAAACATATAGCAGGAACTGCAGCTTCAGTGAAAATTTGTCTCATCGTTGATAAATTTTATCACTCATACCCTAAAGCAGTTCATTCATTGTAAATATTAGAAACTCCCCTCTTTTTTATTTTAACATTTACATACATACCACACAATTCTTATGGACTTACATATCTAACGCCTAAACTTAATTTTTTACATTTCTAAGACTCAAATCTTTCCCATCACATTAAAAATATCACTATCATTAATTTTAAAAAAAATGAAATCCACCCTTTAATGCATAGGTGATGTGGTATTAATGTAAACATCAAAGTTTAGGTGTTAGGTATGTAAATACATGAGAATTGTGTGGCATGCATGTAAATCTTTGAAGTCGGCTGGAAAGAACCGTAAAATTGCATACAAATAAAAATAAAATTTCAAAATGGTGCAGCAAATAAATTTATATAAAAAAAGGGACAAAAGTGGAAAAACGGCACTTTAAGACACCAGAAGGGACTTTCAACATTGCACTCATCAGGTAGAGATAATTTAGAGTGGAAAGCAAAACTTACAGCTCATGAAATTGCTCCATACCGTAAATAAGAACCTTCAACACTGCAACTCCGATAGTGTTATTTACAGATTTTATTTCCTTCATGGAGATTTCTGCTAGAAAAACCTTTATCAAGTACTCTCACAGAACTCCATCTCCTGCACGATAACAAAAAATACAAAGAAATTTGAGGTGATTTCATATATAGCCCTCAAATATCATCTATTTAAAACGCTACCACCCACAATTAATAAAACCCAACACATTTTTATTTGTTTTATTAAATTCCCATCAATTTGATCATACCAAATGCAGATATATAGCTGGAATTCATCATTTTGAAGAGAGAAAAAAAAAATAAAACAGGTTTGTTTTGTAAATAAGAATTTTTTTTTAATCATACATGCACAAATCTCCCTAGAAAATATTTAGAAAATCGCTTAAAAAGTAAAAAAAAACTGCGTACAAAGCTGAGATTAAGGCGGCAAAAAGTTAAAAAGCTACAGAAAATTAAGGGTGCGTTTCAGGCAACTTATCGGCTGCGGCGGCGTTTTAAAAAACATCACCTCACGGTTTGGATCGTGCGGTCAGAGAACTTATATGAAAACTGAGTTTTTATTTAACATTAAATACGGGTCATGGGTCAAACCCAAACCCCGCGGTCCGTGTTTCGCTAAAAATTTTGGCGAGGCTGCCCTCGTCCCCGCACGCAAAGCTCTAGCAAGCCCTTCCTTCCTCTCTAAGCGCACGAATGAGCTTCTATAGGCTGCTCGAGGTATGTTTATGCCCTTGTCGCTAGCTGGGAAGGCGAAGGGATCGCTGCTTGCAAAGACCACCAAAACTCCCATCTTTCTCATTCCTACTCTCAGCTCCGACCAGAAACCATCAAAAAAGTTAAGCCTGTTCGCACCCTACTTCTTCGTCCCATATTTTGGTTTGGATAGGTTCTGGCTCATTTGCGACGAATCTCCTCATTGCAGAAGAGCAATTTGAGAAACAGCTTGCTCTTTTGAAGCCAATGTATTGAGACGAATCTACTCACAACAGAGAACAGCCAAAGAACAACCTGGTTCTAATTGCCGTCTTGAAAGAAAAGTTTTTGAACAATGAGCTTCCATACGTGATGGGAATTTTTGGAGAACTTTCATTTGAATCAGGTAAAGCTGGCAATGGACAAGGAGATGTACACTCAAGAAATATTTCAAAACCATTGGCCTTGAACAGTTTGTATACCTTAGATCTCCAGACATGTAGTTTTCAATTATAAGCTCTGTGGTGACCAGATTTTTTATGTTGGTTATTAGAATTTGAGAGAGATTGATTGATAGTGATGGAGTTATGAATGATAAGTTTCATTTTTTGAGTTAGCGGAATCCATAATGAGAGAGAAATGAACAATTGATGAAGAAATTGGAACGAAGAAGAGAAATTAGAAGAAGAAAAGGAAGACAGAATGTAATGACAGAAATCTCACATATGAATTTATGAATCTTCAATACATTGCTAGGTACAATACAAGATTATTTATGGAGTAGCTATGGAGTAAAGAAGTTCTTGAATAGAAAGACCAGGGAATCTCAAGTACAGTTGTAACTGAGATATTCCCAAGTGGTTGTTATGAGATGTGCTACCTGATCTTGAAGTCTAGAATTTTAGTTGTTATCAAGTTGTTGAATAAATGGACGAGTGGAGTGATATTACATCACCTCCTGTGCCCTGAAATGCTATGGTAACACAAGGAGACTTGAATGGTAATTAGTTTCAGGCTTGTACATACATGCTCATGAACAATTACATGACCATTGACATGAATTTCCTTGCAAATTCAAAACATATTTTCTAGTCCAACTGTCCAGCCTTCAAATGGTATGATCTCATTTAAGAATTTTTAGTTTCCAATGCAAGCCTTTATTGTGCAAAAGATAGATACAATATTTTCATGTTATTATGCCTTGAAGCCTTCCTTGCCATCCAAAATGGTCATTTTTTCGTAAACATGTGCAAATCAACTATTTTTGAACTGCACAAACCAAACAACTTATTAGCTTATTTAGTTCAAGAGAAGAAAAGTTATTTATCTGCTAACAGTTGCAAATCAGTTGTTTTCCAAACGCTAAAACCAAACAGCCAGCCAATTTATCATTATAAACTACTTGTCACGGACAAATAATCCCACATCGGCTAGGTGTAGGGCCGAAAAACAATATTTAAGTTCTGGACTGTTCACCTCTCTTAAGGGCTCTTTTGGGAAGCGACAAGTGGTATCAAAGCAGATTACTGCCTGTCAGGTGTGTGGACTCTCCCCTCGATGGAGCCGATCCGTGACGAGGGCGTCACGTGATTGGGTGGAGGAGAATGTCAGGACAAATAGTCCCACATCGGCTAGGGGGAGGGCCGAAAAACAGTATTTAAGTCATGGGCTGCCCACCTCTCTTAAGGGCTCTTTTGGGAGGTGACATGCTACTCAGCAGCTTATCAGGATAAACTGTTTATCTGGATAAACTGGATAAGCTACAGATACCCCGAACAGACCCTAAAGCTAATATTGAAGGGGCATTTATATACATACCACCCAATTCTCATATATTTACAAATCTAGAACCTAAACTTTGTTTTATACGTTTATATAATAAAAAATTATTCGTATCACATCAAAAGTATGACCCAAATCATTCATATCAGATGCATAAAACCCAAATTCTTATATATTTACATATCTAACACCTAAACTTTGTTTTATACATTAACACCACCCAGAGCATCCATATCACATCAAAATTATCACTACTTTAAAATTTAAAATGTAAAAGAGGCGGAACATGCAAAAGAAGCGAAACACCACAATATATTATTTTGCCCAATACTTAAAAAAAAACAAGTTGGTGGTTTTGCCCACCAATGAAAATACACCTTTTTATGTATAGGTAAGGACGGCAAAAATGTAAAAATTGAAGTTTCGGTGTTAGATATGTAAATACATAAGAACTAAGTGGCATGGATGCAAATCTTCCAATATTGAATAAAAGCAAGAATCACTTCACAAATAAATGACTCAATGAAGATTGAGAGTACTTTTAAATAAGGAAAAAAGAAGAAAGGATTAAATAAAAAGATAATAAAAGTACCTTCCCGCAAATTGGACAACTGTCGCTTCTTTCCATCCACTCATACATACAGCTCAGATGATAATAATGAGAGCATTTTGTGTCAATCTTTGGGTTTTCTGGATTGTATTCTGCACAATGTCACAATACAGAATTAGATCATAAGAATAATGCACTTAGAACCAAAAATATTATTTTATTACACTAATAAATGTTTAGGGATGATTGAGAATATGTCCGAGACAACTGCAATTGTTTGTATAAATAATTGTGAAATATTGGTGTAAAAAAAAGAGTTTTTTAAGGTTTTTTTGAATACCATAGAAAAAAGCTGGACAATAATTTAGTTATAACTATCACTATTAGATGTCTGATTGCGACAAGTTAGTTCTCACCAAAAAAAAAATTCAAAGATATAACAAACAATTGCAGCCAAATTGGGAAATAGCAATAGTATTAGCAAGGCTTTGTCAAATAAAATTAAAATATATATATATCTAAATTAGAAGTGTAATTGAATCAAGTTGACTCGTCCGCTTGCTTGAACTCAACTTGATAAATAATTTGTTAGCCGAGCGCAATCAGTTGACAATCCAAGTTTGAGTCAGACTTGACTCTACTCATTAGCTCAGGAACCAACTCATTTAAGAATATCAATATAAAATACACTTGAAATATATTAAAATTCAAGATTTAATATATAAATTATTTAAAATATTTAAAATTTATATTTTACTTCCTTAAATCTAATGATTTTTTATTATTTCTCCTCTTATCTCATTTTTTTTATCATTTTACTACAACAAATTGTCTGAATCAAAATCAATTTTCCCCTTTATAATGAACAATTTAGCTCATGAACCAACTCAAACTCGATTAATTAATCAAGCTCAAGTTGGAGGTGGCTCAATTTTGACTTGACTTGTTTATAACCCTAGTCCCGAACGCACATTGAAGACCAACAACTACCAAAATATTGCACCTAACCATCTCTCATATCAAATAGTATGCAGGCAGTTAAATACATCCCACCCAATTCTTATATATTTAAATATCTAGTAAAGTGTCAAAATAATTTCATGATTGTTTACACATTCCATAGTGTATAAAAGTATCCAATTAGCCCTCGAACTCTTTAAATTACGATTGAAATAGTCCTTCATGTGGACTATTACATCCTATATTAAAAGAGTCTAGGGTTTAAATTAACACTTTTGTAAACTCTAGGACTAAAATGGCCCCTGCAAAGAATCATGAGACAATTTTGACACTTTTTCTTTACACATCTAACATCTAAACTTTACTTTTTTACATTTATACAACATAAATACTTCATATCACATAAAAAATGTCACCATTTTAACTTAAAATATGTGAAATTCACCTTTTAATACATAGGTAAGCTGACAGGTTATGTAAAATTCAGGCATTAGATATGTAAAAACATAGGAATTGAGTAGTTTGTATGTAAATCTTCCAATGTCATAACTAATAATAACAGTTGATAAAATTAATTACCATCAAGACATATGGGGCAAACATCCTCATCTTCTAAACTTCCTTGCACATATCCTGTAGAATATGTTTTGGCAGACAAATCTTTTTCTCTATCAGATTCGTCTTCAATATTCAAATTCTCAAGCTTCTTACCACTACCCAACTCCACATCTGAGTCACTGCCGCTTCGAACTCGTCTATGATCAGTTACGTGACCCGTTATCTTTTCACGCCTTGAGATCAAACCATCATGTTGTGAACGAGAATATATCATGTCATTGCTATTGAATGGAAGAGGTCGAGGGACGAGGTGGTAGGTATCGGATAAAGAATCATTGGCTGGAGAGAAAGTAGCTGTTGTCGAAGTCAGGGGTGTGGCAACAGCGACGGCGGAGGCAGAAGTATGCCCCTCGAGTCTTTGAAAAGTTGGAACGTGCTATAGGAGATTGAAAAATGCTTGTGATGGTAAAAGTGCGTCAAAAATAGAAGATGATTGAAGGAATATTTACATACATACAACTCAATTCCTATGTATTTACATATCTAACACCTAAACTTCAATTTTATATATATATATATATATA